CACTGTCATTGTTCTCCCAAGACCAGCCCCACCATCCAGACCACGAGATGCTGCAAGCTCTGCATGGAAAGGGCACCGGCCTGCAGCTGGCCAGACGACGGTGTCTCGTCCGTTTGGATCTCGATACAACATTTCCCACACAAACACATGCACAAGAGAGGGAGCCGTTTTGGACAACCCTGCCATTGGAACATCGTGATCCCTCACAACCCTCTCTCAGTCTCTCTGTTCAGTCTGCGGTTCCTATACTAGTTTACCCTGTATTGCACTACACGGTTATCGCCTGGAATACGTACTCATCCTTCACCGCAACAACCAGAGACATGATCCATTTAATTGAATTTTCCGGCTTCTCGGACTGTGACTGCGGGCGCTTGTCCTGGACCATCACCTGGATCTAAACGGCACCGCCTCTCGGGCTTCCATCTCTGGCAACTCGGAAGCATCTGGACGGGCGCCGGAGCGCATGCGGGCATACTCGAGGGATTTTCTCGGAGCGGCGTTTCTCTATTGCCTTGGTCCTCGGGCCATCAACAAATGCCTCTCCTACCATTGTTCCAACATTGAAAGCTGGCTTGTGTCGGGAGCTGTCTCTGACGGTCTCTGACGGCCGCTGTCACGGTCTTGGCTCCCTCCCACCGTTCGCGCTCAGCCCGGCTCCCTTTCAGACGGCTAGAACGCTCCCCTTTCCGTCAGAATTACGGATGGCTTTCAACTGACGACATCCGAGTGGAGGCCGTTCAGTCACAGAGAATTGGACCAGGGCAGACGGCTCCGTTATCTAGCAATGCACAGTGGCACAGTCGTTACTAATCGTCGAATGGAGACGGGAAGAGCCCCATGCTTTGACGATCGATCCACGAGTGTCCCTGGAAAATGTTCCAGCAGCTGGCCTGGCCTTCTTCGGATGATGACAGTTGCTGGAACACCCTGGGCGAGAGGCGGGACCGGGAAACCGATCGTCTTAAAACAAGCTCCAAGAAAAGATGATTCCCGAGGTTTCTTCGATGAAATTGAGAAGGGCCGGCCGAAAACCCTCTCCTTGTGCCAGCTTTCGCGACTGCTTCTCAGAAAACCCTTCATTCATCGTGCAGGACCCTTGTGGGGGAGGGAAACGGGGAAACACATCGTCACCGTCGATCAGGACCAGAAGCTCCGTTCAGCTTTCTTGCATCTTCACTGTGCCGTCGTCCATGCCGTCCAGGGCTGGACCGCAGCTTTTCCTAGCAGCTCCGTCTACCCACGGCGATGTGGCTAATGACGCCATTGGGTGCGTTGCCGTTCTTAGCCTTTTGGGTGCTTGACCGTCCACAACGAGGTCCAGTTGAACTTGTTAGCAAGTCATTACCAGTACTGCGTAGGAAAACGAGCCAGAACCCTCGACTTTTAGCAAACGCGGCAATCTTTTGCCATAAGCCTATTCCTAGCTACGCCAGCGCTTTCATCTCTTGATATCGTACAAATACCGGTGTCCTCGACTCCAAAAGAAACAGTCCAGAGGAGCCTGTACTCGGGTAGTACGCTGGGGTATCCACCTACCTAGCCAACCGTTCATCGTGTTAAAACTCCCCGCGCAGAAAAGATGACGAGGGAAACGTCATTATCCGGGGTTTCACAGGATTGAGAAAGGAAGGGGGGGAAAAAACTTGAGCATTCACTCACACCAGTTCGCGACTATACTAGGTAGAACATGAGGGGCAAATTCGGCTATCCCCCCCCAATCATCATGAACTATCTAGCTCGTCTAATTGGGTACAACCCCAACCAGCGGTCATGGTCATGGTTCATGGTCACGCTTCATGATGTGCGTGATGTCCTTTGCATGAGAATAGCTCTTGCTGCTTACCTTTAGTTTCGAGGCCTGCGAGCTATTACCAGCTGTCTTCCCCCGCCGCCGGCACCGCTAGTGCCCTTTTTTTGATCCTCACCGTTTACTTCGCAAGCTAGCTGTAGTTCGAGCTATGGCGACTCTGACAATGCTAGGAAGCTTACACAGCAACTTTTCTTGTGAGCTGGCAAGCTTGCTGCCGATCCTCTTCCGCTGTACTCCGGTCTGGAACGGCTCACATGCATGGAGGCGGGTGACTCGGCCGAGAGCTATTGCGACTTTGCTCAATACGCACGAAAACGAATCATCAAAAGCTTCAAGAAAGCTTCGAAACAGAAAATCCAGTGCAATGAAGAAAGCTATCATAACCTCCGGAGCTTCTGAGAACCAAAAGCGCAATCCGAAGTCGTACACACAAAGCCTAAGCTTGTCCCGGGACGCCAAGTTCCTTTCCGAATATGCCGGTCGTTGCATATCAAAACACACCAGTCTCCGCGTTGCCCTCTGCAACCTTTCATGACCCATTGCGCTTCACGCGCCAAGTGGGCTATCACGGAGCCTCGCTACTTGCAATTGTATACACTCCACATCCCTTTCGTCCACCAATTTTTCGTGCTTCCAGGCACTGGATATCATTGATGTTGCCTGTACTTGTTCAGCTGTCGTTACAGACGCCGGCGCTTCTTCGTTCGGCGCTGCTGGCTTGGGCGCCTCGTCGCCCCGACACTCCGATTGCTGATTCTTCTCCTAGACAATCATCTGGGCAACGCCCTGACCACCAAGGGTCTTGCTGCCGACAAAGGCCTGGCCCTTGACGGCGGCGAGAAGGTAGCAGATGGCCGTCAGCGACAGGAACACACCAGCGGCGATCAGACTGCTGGTGACGATGATGGTGCTGAGGAACTGAATGACAGCCATGCCGGCGTAGGCTCCGGCGCGCATGTAGTTGGTCGAGATCTTGCGGATGAAGCCATCGAAAGTGGCCGAGGTAGGGCAGATTCGGAGCAACAAGGGGACCTCAATGAAGAGGATCACCAGCGCGGAGGCCCTAAAGCATTGTGTTAAAACGGAGCTCCGGCAGAGAGCGGAGGGGGCGCAGGGAGCCTTACAGGGCGAGCGCGCAGAAGATGATGAGAAGGAGATGGATGGTGAAGATGTTGGCGATGCCCAGTGCTAAGCACAAGATCATCGACAAGACACCCAGCCTGCATTGATTCTCGAGTCAGCCATTATGCCTCCCAAAAGTGTATCATCGCACCGAAACAAGCTCGCATAGAGATGGTTTCTGGGATCGCAGTCTGCCACGGAGAGTAATCATCTCGGGTCGTGTCCCCGCGGACAGGCAATCGAAGAGGGATCATCGCGCGAGGCCGCGAGGGATAATGGGCTGAGCAGGGGAGCTCTTACCATTGGCCGTAAATGCCTGTGGTAACAGGTTAGCATCATTTTCCACAACGCAGCAGACGGCGCTCGGCGCGCAAGAGCGATAGGAGGATAACGTACTGAAGTTTCTGGTCGCGAACTCCTCCTTGAGCGTCATTTTGGCGGTAGTGTGATGTGGTTTGCGGTGGTTACGTTTTTCTTTTTAGGTTGGCGTACGTGGACTTTCTGAGCTATTGTGGAGATGGTCCGAATTCCAGCTCACGGAGATGGGATCGACACACGGGAGCGCAGGGAGATCGGATTGTGGTAGGATAGAGCGGTCCGGTGAATTGACAGTTTGTCTCGTCGTATGGTGAGAAATGGTGCTTCCGAATTGCTGTTCAGTCTGGTTTCGAGGTTGAAGGTGGAATGGTTTTGTTGCGTGAGGTTGAGTGGTGGATTTTCCAACGGTAAAAAGAGGTTGAGATGAAGTGTTGTTGTCAGCTTTCCCCGGGGCGGCGCGGCCAAGAGAGGAAGCGTCGTACGTAGCCTCTTTTGCCGAATTTGAGGCTTGGACTTGGCCAGCGGCGCTGGTTACTGGTAGGTGGCAGGTTCTGGGGGTCCTGGGGGGTTCCCGTTTGAACCAGTCAGATTGCCTACAGCTGCTGCGGTGTGGGTTGGGCCTGGCGCAGTGTGGTGCTGCGGCTTCCTTGGACCTTGGGGCGTGAGATCTTTTTAGCGCCTTCTGGGTCCTTTTGGGAGGGGAGGAACTTCCAAGTTCCAGGGGTCGCACGCAGGCCGCAGAGGGAGAGACAGGGTTATTCTGTTTCTTGTCTGCGGGAAGGGGTCTCGTCTGGTACCTTACTGTGTAGGCCCTTTCTACGGATGTTCAACTTCTCAACAGCTGATGTGAGGCAGGCAGAGAGAGAGAGAGAGGTATTCGACCGTGTTCGAATTCCCAACGGTCAGGGATGAGACAGGGACAGCTGTTGTGATCGGTTTCCCTTTCCTCTCCTGTTCTCCCTGTGTGGTTGAAGGTGAGAGAGCAGGGGCCTTTTTGCGTATCCTGTCTCTGGACGGTCAGCCGTGAATGTACGGTAAGATGAGGTGTCTGTTTTTGATCGGTGCAGCCTGCCACTCTTGATAAGGTTCTCGTTTACAAGGCAACACGAGATGATCAGACTCCAGAGCCGCGCTGTCTGTCCCTTTCTTCGTCTTGTATCTTCAGCAGGTGTCTGTCTCCTCTCGTGTCCCGTGCTCGGTAGTATGCCGTACTACTGTTGCTATTCAACTCTCAAAGACGACACAGCAGAAACAGCCTTGTTTTCTCAGTTCTGATGCGCAAAGAGAAGGATGCCCCTCGCCAGGCTACGACCCTTGTGGTGGAACCGACGAGGAACAAATGTCACTGGTCGCTTGAAGGGGAGAAGGGAGAAAGAAAAAAAGATGGGATCGAGTGTAAGAGGTTTATGAAACAACGTCCTGACACTTTCCGGGCCCGGGGGGCTACAGGAGGAGGGACCTGAAAATGCACGGCCGATCTACCGGGTGCCACTACTCGAAAGGGTTGTCTGTGTGCTCATCCGACACCCGTACTCCAGTAGCAACCCCGTTTTTATTTTGTTCGGTTTTGGTCGAGGTGGCAGGTGGGTGGCTATATTTGGGAATGTGGTTGTTGATTAAGACGATAGTGGTAGGCAGGATCGAGTTTTTGTTTCGCCTTCTCGTGATGCTTTTCGACACCACCTACTAAGTAAGTAGACTTCGGATTTTGTGGATGAGGCTTGGTCTTTATGATGGCTGATCGCAATATGAAGAGAGTTTCTATAATGATTTGGCAGACTGTAAGTTACAGTAATCAAAGTATATTATTGAACACCGAGGAACTCAAACAATAGTTTTTTCGTCTGCAATTGATTCGACACCTCCACCTCTATCTCCGCCTTTGATGCGCTATATACACGCCTGAGCTGTCTAGGCAGCTGTCTTTTCCCCGTTGATCGCAACTCGTCTTCTGCGAATACGATGGACACCATACACGCGTCGTGGAGTGGCAGAGAGATATGGGGCGACATGAGCCTACGTGGACTCTGCCGAAGCCTCCCTCGGGCTCCGGCGGCGGCGGTCTATATCACCATTGCCCACTTCTGATTCGTTCATTCCTCAGGTGCCTGGAATGGCTTGGTTTTCAGGATAGAGTAAACTTCAGACAAACTGCCTTCTTAAACATTCGTATGCTTCGATGCCACTGTAGGCTTACACAAACACAAGGAAAAGAAACGCACGATGGACGACACATCTTTCCCCCTATTCCAGCTCATCACGCCTGCCCAAGACCCTCCAACTCCTTAATCACAGCATCCCGCTTCTTCCTATTCTCCTCAGAGGTGAGCTCCTCAACGTGATTCCCGTACGTCCACCACACCCCATCCTTTTCGTTCTTGCCCTCGTCGGCGCCATCCCAATCACACATCTCGGACCACCCGACATTCGAAATGTCGAGGTTGCACCAATCCAGGTAGGCCATCGTCCACGGCGTCCGGAACTTGTTGAACCCCTCCGGATACGTCAGCGGCTCCGCATCCCAGTCAATGGCCCGCTGGCACAAGATCACGGTCCCATCCTCGACGCCTTTGTCGTCGAGCACGAGGAAGAGGCTCAGGTTGTTGGGACCCTGCTGCTTGCCGTACGCCGAGTCCTCTTCTTTGCCCCTAGCAAGGATCGCGGCTTCGATTTCCTGAAGGGAGCAGCCTTCCCATTCGTTGGTCGGGGATAACTCTTGCAATGGCGGCTTTGTGGATTCTGCGTCTAGGGGCAGGGGTTCCGTCTTCGAGGTGACGAGGGAGAAGCAGTCCCAGGTGTCATCTTCGCCGTACTCCCAGTCCCGGATGGTGAGGAGGAAGCGGTTGACAAGTTTGATGTTGGCATTTTTGGCCGTGATGAAGACGAACGAGCACCGTGACATCTTGACCGTGATCTTGTAGATGATGTATGGACGTTGATAGTATTCCCGCCAAAAAAGAAATTCAAATCTTGGGGTTTTGTGTTCTGATTTGCATCTAGATGTCTGGCAATCCTGCCCGCTTGGATATCATCCTCTGACATCACATTTTGAAGCTAAGCAGGCAGAAATCAGGCAGCTAGCCCTTGGGACGAACTTGGGGAATTTGTACGGAATACAATCCTTTGCCGATCGTCTCGGGCTCCCACAGGGCCGTACCCGCCACCACCTTGCCGCCACGGGCACAGTTCACGGCATTGACTATTCCGGCTTAATCATGCACACTCGGAGTCGACAGGGTCCCTATCGGGTCCGGTGCCGGAGACATCTGCCCCTCCATTCGAGGCCGAAAGCCCGGTGTACCGCAACCCTGGAACCCCAGAAACCGGGCCAGCCAACCGCTAAGCCCGCTTCGCTTTCGGGTGCCAAGCGCAGATTTGATGGCCCAATCCGCCTCAATTCCCTCGTATATTCTGCCGCCAAGCCCTTCACTTCTTCTTCAATTTCCTCCTCTTTACGGATACCTCCACCGAGAACTTGGTACATCGGAAGGTTACGAGAGCGAGCAACACGGGTAAGCATGTGTCCACTGCCCACGGCGCCGCACATGTGGAGATCAACGGTTTGTGTTCAGTCAGCACCACCTAGTCGAACCCCAGATCTAGTATCGACAATTACATCATACCACAGAATTCGTACATCCAACGGCGCAGCCCGTACTAGATTCTTGGCGCGGATGAGCCGGTGCAAAATCTACGGTGGATGAGAAATCGCCGCTTAATGCCATCCACAAGCCCCCTCCCCCGGAGTTTTTTGGCTTTGACTTTTCGATATAAGCACGGCGTTAGCTCCCCCGTAAAGCCCGAGTCAGGGAAAGAAAAGTGTGTACCTACGAATAAAGAACCCCGCTCCGATAGTCAAATTGTCTCCCGCAAGTGACATTCTCATCTCATCGCGAGTTGATGACGGGGCAAGTTCCGGAAATCTCTCTCACAGCAAGTACTCACACAAGGAAAAAAAAAGAGCCTATTCACATCCATATCACAATAGCCCGTCGTCATGGTCTTGACGGTCCTCACAGACGACCAGATCAAGACGATCCTGGCCGATCTGACGGCCGACGAGTTTGACGGGTTCAGAAAGGTCATCTCGACCGCGCTACACGAGTACTCGACCAACACGCACAACATTGAAGATGGCACATATCACCAACCGGAGCGCGTCTCAACAGAGAACCTCAAGACAGGCGCGACAACCCTGTACATGCCCTCCGTCGGTCCCCAAGGCATGGGCTGCAAAGGTAACCTCTCGCCCCTTCGTCACCCGTCTAGGATTTCTCAATACTGATACTTCCTGTAGTCGTGACCCTCAGCTCCAGCAAAGCCTCCCAAGACCCCTCAAAACCCTCCATCCAACCCACGGGCGCCGTAACCCTCCTCTCCCCAACCGGCGAACCCATCGGCTTCCTCCACGCAAAGACTCTCACGGCCTTCCGCACCGCCCTCTCCTCGACCTGCCTCCTCGCCCGCCGCACCACCGTCAAAACTCTCACCGTCTTCGGCACAGGCCTCCAGGCCTACTGGCACGTCCGCCTCGCCCTCCTCGTCCGCGGCACCACCATCAAACACGTAAACGTCATCAACCGCCGCTTCTCCGACGACGCCCGCGACTTTATGAAGCAGTTTTACCGCGTGCCCGCGCACATCAAGGAGCGAGAGGGCTGGGCCGAGACGACGTTTGGGATTTTGACGCCCGGGTATGGCGAGTTTAAGAGGTTGCTGAGGGAGCAGATTCGCGATGCGGATGTGGTGTATTGCTGTACGCCGTCGACGGAGGAGTTGTTTGAGGCGGAGGTGCTGACGAGCCATGAGGGGCGGAGGAAGGGAAGGCTTATTGCGGCGATTGGGAGTTATACGCCGCAGATGAGGGAGTTGCCCGAGGGGTTGTTGTTGCAGGCGACCAAGCATGAGAAGCCGCACTGGCATTTCCATAAGCATGCGCCTGAGGGAGGGGTGATCATCGTGGATACGCTGGACGGGGCGTTGAAGGAGGCTGGGGAGATCATCTCTGCTGGGTTGCAGCCTACGCAGCTTGTTGAGTAAGTTTTTGTCCTCAACTCGGGAGCTCGAGGACCGGTCACACCTTGACATGGATGGAAAGCTGACTGTGTGTACACAGACTCGGAGAGCTGATTATGCTCCGCCGGATGCAAGACGAAGAGGACGCGGCCTCAGCCTCAGCCGATAGCGATGCGGCTAACATCGCGGCCTCGGAGCTCGAGAAGCTTGACTTTTCGGGCACACCATCGATCAAGTCCGCCTTTTCGGGGTCCGACGGTGCATCTGTATCGGAGCCGCGGACGTCTATTAGTAAAGACTCGACAAAGACGTCAGGTAGCGGCAGCAGTAACAGCAAGGGGCCGAGCATGCTTCGCCGGAGCTCGAGTCAGAGGTCGGCGGACAAGCGTAAGAAGGAGGACGCGCTGGTGAAGTGGCTTAAGGACGGGACCGTCATCTATAAGAGCGTTGGGCTTGGGCTCATGGATTTGTCGGTTGGGATGCACATGATTCAGCTTGCCAAGGAAAAGGGTATTGGGACGCAGATTGAGGGATTCTGAAAGGATTGGGAATGGGGCTGGGGTATAGATGGAGTATAACAGGTTGAGACTGCGATCTTGAAAAGGGGGGATACGTCCTCGGTTTTGTGATATCCTTTAGATTACGAAGAAATGGGTACGACGGGCGCCTGTGATATGTTCATTGTTTACCTTAGGTGGGCCAGCTTAGGCATCGTTGGCTATCACCAATATGATTTAATTCCAGTTTGAAAGCCTTCGAAGAATAAATGAACGGCAAAATTAAAGAGACTTGATTAGAAATCACACTTTCAGTTCTAGTCCTGAAACCAGCGAGGTAGGTCGAGGGAAAAGCATTACCTAGGATTGGGGGCCCTACCACCCTGAACTGCACGTCTCTAAGCCCTTAGGTCTCTCATTCATTAGTGACTTCCTCTTAATCACCGAGGAGAAGCGGCTTTCTAGCGCACACCGTTTTCAAATGGCGTGTAGACAAGGGTAATATACTGGCTTTGAAAAGGTAAAGGAGCGACGGACGGAGGAACGGCTTTCCTGTCAAGCATATACTGGTTGAATTCGAGCACGGTTATTAGCAGTCGCAATTCTATGGCATTTCGCTACTTTGCTTCGTTAAAGCATATAGTAACTTATTTTCAGCACTCCTTAAGGAATAGGAGGATCACCTTTGTTCCTAATGCCCGTCTATTTTCCTTATTGTATTTACACCCTAATTCCTACAGGGTAGAATAAATAAGCGACGAGAGTGTATTATTAATTGCCCTAGATTGTTACGCATAAAGAAATAAATATCGTTGAAGACTTTAGTAGTGGTGTTCTTCGCTTCGTCATAATAGACATTTACCTACATATAGGCATTCGCAAACCAGCGCAAAGGGACTCCAAGTTTAAGGAATGTTACTATGGCCTTGTTACTCTCTTAACTAAAGCTCTAAGTATTTATAGTGACTGGCCCTTACACAACGAACTTCCTAGAATATCTGCGAAACCGGGAGCGTCAAATTATTGGCCTACCGAAGTGAACAAGAAGCGGATATATGGACTTTACTCAATATCACCGTCTAAGGTCCTTTGCTACTAGTATTGCCGGTCCCCTACCCGGGATTAGCACGGCATTGTACGAACTTTACATACATCGCAAGATAACCGCAAGTTGGTAACAATAACCTAATCGCTATTCAGGTCCATATAGAGTCTCTTGTCGAATTCGACTACAACTGACTCGATTCTCGTCAATATTGAATGAAGTAGCATCAGCAAGTCACTCTCTACCTTTCTAACTTCGCAATCGCTCCTTCGTCGTAGGTAAAATCCAGTCAAGGGCGAAACCCGAATTCCGTCTCACCTCCCTTCCTTAGGTATCTTAAGATGGTCCGCTACCATCCGGGTGTAGTAGGCCGTACGTATCATCCATACCCGCCTGCTCAAGTGTATAAAAGGGTATTCAGAGTTACGCAGACTGGTTCGTTGCCAACTATAACGCTCCCGCTCTGCCTCAGGATTCAGTGCGGAAGAGACTGGGAGGTACTGATTCTTAGCAGTTAATGCGGCGGCAGTGGTGACAGCGGCCGCGAGGATTTTGATCTTATATCCATCCGGTAAGTCTCGTTCATAGAGGCATGAAGTGAACCTCTCCACCTGCTACTTAGCGTCATAGACACCCTCTGGTACAGTATTCACTGCCCAATACGCCACCGGTACAGACGAATCGAAAAAGCTACCGCGTGAGCAGGCTTTGAAGAAGTAAAATATTTAAACACATACTTAGTTAGAAGCATACTTTTTGAGGCTGAGGCCTTCATGAAGCATTCCCAGCTTCTTGTCTACCATCTCGTCCACAAAATCATTCGTGTCGTCGACTCTTTTGCCTAGGAAGATAGTTTTCATTACATACCCTCATAGCTACAGGTGCCATAAAGCAGCATCTATAAGCTCACCTCCAAACGTATCCCAGCTTTACTCACATCATGGACGAAGCGGAGATTCTAGGTCGCATTTATACAAATCGTCAGATGAGGCATACTGCTGACCTGGTGATCATCTGTTGCAAGAACGCTGCGATTCAGATAGTCCCGGGTGCTCATTGCCATTTCACCCGCCCTAAGCCTCTCAGATCGAGTTGCCGATATTAGAGCTTGAGGCAGAGACATCGCAGAGGAATGTGACGTGCCACGCATCGCCAAATAGTGTGTGATCAATTACGATGGATCAAGTTATTGCGGAAGGTAATCAGTGATAACCGAAACTTCAGACAATCACTAGGTCGGCACTTGTATGCGTTGGAGTAGGCCACATCTGCGTAGACGCTTTTGGCTGTAAGCTGATGTCTCCGGAATGACTGTGGAACCCTGTAAAGCCAAACCTTCACCAAAAACCTGGAACTATAACTATTGTGCTAGTAGAGAGCTCCGCTGGACTATTTCATTCCTACTATGAACTGGTATGTTCACCTGGGTAGCGTTCTGCCAGGTCGGGCTGTACGACTGGACGAATCCGATATCAGGGCGATGGGCGGATCGTGACGAAGCTGGAAACATTAACGGTATGCTATTATGCTAAGATGTAGAGAATCATTCCATACTAAAATTGTTCCTCATTTAAGTTGATGAGATCTTCCAATCACAAGTTGATTGGATGCTGCCCATTCAAACGATTTTAGTGTAGGATCTCGACTCTTCACCACAATTCCAGAACCTTAAGTTACAGCTTCAAATACAGCGTAATGAATGATAAGTAAACAGCAGTCTCGTAAACCCAATAAAACTTTCAAGACTCATACAAGCCTATTAGCCCAGCTACCGTGACCCGACATTCATCAACCTGCATATTTGGTAAGTTCCCGGTTGTTCAAGCCTCTGGTACGACGGATGAAGTGCGGGGCCGCCAGCATCTCACCTCGCGTGTGGAGCCAGCCAGCCAAAAAACCCTGGGCAACTTGGTCAGATTTTGCGGTACGCACCTCCAACCCACCGAGCGGAGCAATAGCTCCGATCCTCCCCTTGGTGTAGTTGGTTCATCACGTTCGACTGTAATGGTTACATTGTCATCGAAAGGTCTCTAGTTCGATTCTGGAAGGGGAGAACCGTCTCTTTTGCTTGTTTTTGTCACCTAGCAGCTGTAAGATGAAGTTGTGTTGGCGTTGAGATGCGGGTGGGATGGTGTGTGAAGGAGTTTTCTTTTTTCCCTTGTGGTGAGGAAGGAAGGTTTGGGGGTTTTTGTTTGTGTACGTAGGTAGGCAGGCCCCTAACCTGTTCCTCTCTGGGGAAAGGGTAAGTATCTCGCAAGCTTCGGAGGCCGCTACAGACGTGTATGGAAGTTGTGGAAAATGAGAGTGGCATTGAGTAACCTGGAGGAAAGGATTCCACGGCAACTAGGAACACTTGGTACAAGATGAGGACGGTTGGTCTTCCCCTGCTGGTTGTGGATTGGGGTTCATCGCAAGTGTATGGCTGAATTACTAGTCCCAAAAGGACAAGAAAGATGGGATCAACATCCACGGCAACTTACCTACCCTAGCCATATCAACAAGGCTGGAGGTACCGACACAACCGCAACCTTTCAACTGGGAACAAACAGAGCGTTGCTCATACGGAGTAGGAATAAGTGCATCACGACTTAAGTGGATATAAACACAGTTGAATGGATGTTTGAGTTCAGTTAGTCCCACGAAATGAATGTTTGAGAGTCGCTGTGGGATAGTCTGATAGGCACGCAATCCTTCGTGTGTCAAGTCAAGAGCAGAGATGGCTGCCACCAGCAAGTGGGCTCAAATTTCACCGTCCGTTGAATGACGCATACCGATCAGGGAAAGCAAGACCAAAAAATAAAATAAAAATGGGCATGTCGAACCGCTGAAATTGTCGAGGAGAGAACTCCCGTTCAAGATATGGTCAAAACGCAAAAGAGATTGATTTCGCCCGGACTTGAACCGGAGACCTTCAGTGTGTTAGACTGACGTGATAACCAACTACACCACGAAACCTAATCGGATGCTGGTACGACATTGTGAAGTCGTTTAAGAAGCGTTCCCTTCCGGCTCCCTCCCGCTCCAGGGCGGATCGACGACGCCGACGAGCGAAAGATGCAGATAGGCGCGGGTAACGGGAGCAGTCATCTCTTGCCTGGCTTTGATTAACGCGCGAGAGGCAACGGACTTGTTCACGGCGTCTGTAAGCCTTCAGAAAGCGTACAACACGTATTAGCCAAGGCCAGCGTGGCTTGGTAGGCACAGCTATGGATATATCTACAACTCTCACCAATATCATGTCGACCTTGGAACACATGTAAGCTGCCCAAGACGCAGGCCTGGGGCGCGTTTCCATTCTTCTTCCTCAGAATCCAGGAATACTGAAAAATCCAATCTCTCAGAATGGATACCTTTCGTATATTCCACCGAAGAACGTCCCCCACCAGGAGAAAAATTCGAATTCACCATCACGGGCACGTCCCATCTCAAGAAGACTCTTTACCACAAGCCCCACCAGGCCGCAAAAATCTCAACCACTCCCCAGGTATAAAACAACGTCCTCCCACCGCGGCTTTTAGGAATTTTCTTCTTCTTTTTTCTTCATGTCGACAATACTTCAGAGAATCATTTCTATAGTATTCGACCTACTCTTGGTTCCCTAAAGGAGCTACAGATCCCACCCTGGTTGATGATTGATATCCTCGATACCCTAGAGTGATATACTCTGGTTGTTCTCGCACCCTCCGCAAGGAGGGCGGAACAGAAGCCTTGCTTCTGTTTTGTATAGAGAACGGTGATGATCTCGTCCCCTCTCGCGGTCTTGCCCTTGGGCGCGTGGGAGGGGTGGGCATCGATGGACGTCTGACAGGCTTTTTTTTTCATTGCGGGCTGGAGCGAGACTCTGGTCGTGAAGAAGAAATTTCGGTCTCCAAGTACCTATTCACATGTATGGTGTTACCGGACTGGCTTGGTTCGCCGTACAGGAAAGACACCTTTATGGGTGGCTGGCCTGGACTTATCGTCTGAATACCTGGGTGAGATGGTTTACATGCAATCTCCTGAAAGACAAGGCGTGGAGCGACAAAGGTAGGACTCTATCCTCGACCTAAGAAACGTAGGTGACCATTGAGACGTGGCAAACCTCGGATGAGGCTGGTGTATCAAATCAAAACCCTCAGACATCATAGACCAATCGTATTTCATACGCCTAAATCCAGAACCATTCTGTTGATTTACAACTAGGCCCAAATGCTCTAATTAAAATACAAGTTTCATCATCAAATCTTTAATTCCCCGTCGTCACCAACTTACTCGGCAACCCAGACGGCGCTCATGCCCATACCGGTACCGATACACATGGACGTGTTACCAATCTTCTTACCCGTCCGCTTAAGCTCGTACAACAGCGTCGAGATCTGTCTTGCGCCAGTGCAGCCAAGCGGGTGACCGAAGGCAATAGCACCGCCCTTGGGGTTGACCTTCTCGAACGGAATGCCGAGCACCTCGGCGCTCCACAGGCACTGCGACGCGAAAGCCTCGTTGATCTCATAGATGTCGACGTCCTCGGTCGCGATGCCGGCCTTGGCGTTGGCGACGGGGATGGCCTTGGCAGGACCCTGGCCCATGAGCAGCGGCGGCAGGCCGACGATGGCGGCGGAGACGAACTTGCCGAGGATGGGCTGACCGAGGCGCTCGGCGGTGGAGCGCTTCATGAAGAGCACGGCGGCGGCGCCGTCGGAGACCTGGGAGGCATTACCGGCGTGGATGCCGCCGTCCTTTGCAAAGGCGGGCTTGATCTTGGCCAGGGACTCAGCGGTGACGCCGGCGCGGATGCCGTCGTCCTTGGCGACGGTGATCTCCTTGGTCTCACCAGACTTGGGGTCCTCCCACTTGACCTTGAGGGGAACGATTTCCTGGTCAAAGAGGCCCTCGGCCTGGGCCTTGGTGGCCTTGGCGTACGAGGAGGCGGCGAAGGCATCCTGCTTGGTGCGGGGGATGCCGAGGTCCTGGGCCATGTTCTCGGAGAGAACACCCATGGGGACCTTGCAGTTTGCGGCTTCGGGGGTGTTCTCGAGGAGCTCAGAGAACTCGGAGACGGCGGCGGGGCTGTTACGAGACGAGGGTCAGTTTACTGAAAGTATGGGAGCGCGGGGTCAAGGAGCAACGTACCCGTATTGCGTTGACATGCTCTCGACACCGGCGCCGATGCCGACCTCAATCATGCCAGTCTTGATCGCGTTGATGATGTCCACGGAAGCCTGCAGACCAGAGGAGCACTGGCGGTTGAGGGTGCGCACGGCAGTGGTCTGGGGGAAGCCGGCGACGAGAGCAGCGGCACGCATCTCGGTGGCGCCACCGCCGGGGGCCAGGACGGTGCCGACGGCGATATCTTCGACGAGGGCGGGATCGATCTTGGAGCGGTCGAGGAGGGCCTTGAGGGTGCCGGCAATCAGGTCGGCGGCCTGGGTGTCCTTGAAGCCACCCTTGCCACCCTTGGTGAAGGGCGTTCGGAGGGCTGCGGTGACGACGACCTGCGAGGAGATACGATTAGACGGGCGAATTCGGTGATGGTCTGGAGAGAGAGAGAGAGAGAGAGCGATCGGGTGCTTACATCGTCAGCGTTCTTCTGGAGGATCTTGTCCTTGCCGCCGGCGGAGAACTGGCCGCCAAGCTGAGTCAATCTCTCGAGGGCTGGTTGAGCGACGTGGTTAGTAAAAGAGGCCGAGTTACCAGCGCAGAGTATTGCTTGCTACTCACCACCCATTGTGATAGATATGAAGTTTCGAAAATAGAGATGTAAGGGTATATAGATGGAACAGACAGATGGAGAGATAAGACTGGGAAGAGTAGATGTAGAAGGAACAAGTATATCAATACAAAAGTGTGTAAGGGGAACTGTGACGGACAAGATGTATGTCTGGTTCGGATCTCAGATGGGACAATGAGCCTCGGATGTTAAGAAAACGGGTCCTTGACAAAGGAGCAGCAGGGTACTTGGTACACCACTGGCCACCTCCAAAGAGCTCGCTGATGTCAGCTGGGGGTTCACTCTGTACCTCCATACTCTAGGAGTCGAGGTACCTGGGAATGGACTTCTGCAGCACCCAAAAAATAAAAACCGACCGAGGCATCCAAATTCCAGTTGACCACACCGCATTGGTTGCGAAACTCCGGGGCCCGAACCCCACCCTTTTTGCCTGAGAGGTGCGGAAAGGTATCCGTTTCTCACCTAGCTGCCATTTTCACATGCTCGCTTCTTCCCCACTGCGCGGTAGCAGGTGCTGTTTCTGGCTGTTGGTGCGCTGCGATAGCAACCTTGGTCCCCACCTTCTCCCGCCTCCCCCGTACTTTTCCCCCCCCCTTGGTGGCCCAGTGCCAGAAGTGACTTTTGCGGGGGACATACACTACCTATACTCAGCAAGCCAGCGGCCAGCCATTGGCATACCTAGGTAGTCCCGCCGCGGCCCCTCTCTCTCTCCCAATAGCTTGCGTCACAAGCACTTTGCGGTAGCCCAGGTGATCATCATCCCGTCTCCCATGTTCTTCTCTGCCATTTTTAATCCCAAGGTAGCCAGCCTCCTTAGGGTCTTAGGCCGTCACGGGACTTACTCTGCCTCTGGCGGCTTACGGTACCTACGAGGCTGGTGAGCTTGATGGCTGCTGCCCTTTGTGCTGTGTCCGTCAGGTGGAACATGTGCTGGTTTGGCTTGGCTCAAACAGCTACCTTTTTTTTCCATGTGAAGATGCACCGCGAGTCAATTCAAAAATCTTAGGCGCAAACCAATAGGATGGTGGTTTCATCGACATGGAGACCCCAGCGGATTCAGCCATACTCGTTCAGTGGGACTGTAAGCAGCTGGAAGTAAAGTGCATCGTGACTTTATAGACTCATCATAATACAAGGTCATTGTTCTACACATCTGTATATGTCTCTCTCTCTCTCCCCCCACGAAATATCTGTATGGTCTCCCTCTACAACTTAGCCGCCGGCTTAATCAACGCCAGTCTTGCCTTCAGCGCCGCCTCGGCCTCCTTCTCTATTCTAGGAACCAAGTCCTTGACCGACGGGATGTCGTGAATTAACCCGATAACCTGTCCGGCCGTCCAAACCTATGCCGAAATGTTAGCTCGATATTCAACCACGTAAAACTTGTAACAACTCCTTGGGGGGCACCCTCGGATCAAAGGGGATACTCACGCCATAGTCCGGATCACCAGTGATGAAAACCTCTTTGCCCCTCTTCCCGCTCACGAGCGGCGCAATCTCGGAGAACTCGCCCGACGTGCTCTGCTCCTCAATCTTGATGGCCTCCTCCGTGACCTTGTTCTTGTACAGCCGCGTCGTGTTCCTCCACCGCCGCAGCAGCAGCGCCGTGTCCGTCTCTTGCGCCTTGACAATCTCCTCCTTGATCTTGTGGTGGATCGGCGCCTCCAGCGTGCACATGAACCGCGTGCCCATGTTGACACCCACCGCGCCCAAGCACAGCGCCGCCGCGAGGCCCTCGCCGTCCGCGAACCCGCCGGACGCGATGAACGGCACCTTGAGCGACTGCCGCGCCCGCGAGAGGAGGATAAAGTTGGTAATGTCCGACTCGCCGACGTGGCCGGCGCACTCGAAGCCGTCGATGCTGAGGAAGTCGACGCCGAGCTTGACGGCGCTCTGCGCGTGGCGGATCGTGGTGCACTTGTGCAGGATCGTGACGCCCGCGGCCTTGAGCTGCTTAATGACGGGACCGGGCGAGTTGCCGGCCGTCTCTACGATCTTGATGCCCTCGTCGATGACGACCTGGGCGTAGGCGGCGTAGTCTGGGGGCACGAGGGCCGGGAGGAGGGTGATGTTGACGGCAAAGGGGTACGTCGTGAGCGTCTTGCAGCGCTGGATCTCCTTGCGCAACTCCTCAGGGGTCGGGAAGATGAGGGCGGTGATGATGCCCAGCGCGCCGGCGTTGGAGACGGCCGAGGCGAGGTCGGCTGTGCCGACGTGCTGCATGCCGCCCTGGACGATGGGTACTGTGAGGCGGACGAGAGCGTGTCAGCGATGAGTTGTCCCTCTCTGATAATTTACCCGGGCATAGGGGTTAGGATGCGCGCCATAGTGACGCCTGCGGACATGATGTGTTGTGCGTCTCCTCGCGGCCCTGCTCTGACGTACCTTTGATACCCAACCGTCGGGTCAGCTCAGTGTCGAATGGCATGTTGGGCAATCGGAACGCCTTCTTTTTCTCTATTCGATTCGATTTCGGTCCAAACTGTTGTGTTACGTGACGAACAGGTTCAGGGACGAGGGTGAAGACAAGGACGGACGGGGCAACAGGGAAAAAGGAGACAACAATCTTCTAAGAGTTCTAGTCTACCCGTAGATGATGTTGTAGAATGCAGACGTGATAATAAAAAGGGCCAGAGTGGTGATTCTGACGGCAGTCTAGCTGACTCGGTCCGGCCGGTCAAAGGACAACGCCTGCTCAGCCCCCCCGATCGGTACCTTGGGACAGTGGGGACATACCGAGGTAACTCGGCCTCCACCAATCTTCTCCCCCGCGTTTCCAGGTGCCAGGCCATTTTTCGATTAGAGCGAACATGGGGAAACACGGCCGACTCCATTCTTGCCGTCCCTACGGAGTAACTTCCTCTAGGCTCTGGCTCTCACATGGCCCAGCAGCCATCATCTTTCCGTCCACGGGACTATTTCCGTATCAAGAAGGCTTCATCCCTGACACCGGCCAGTCTGGCTTCACTTCATATTCGTGACATTCTGACAGAGAAGGCAGCACACAGCATCCTCATCCCTGACATACTGAATCATCGAGGAGGGTCGCACAGCAACTCTTCGCAGGCCAACAGACCAGACAGACGTGCAGAGACCAGACAGACGTGCAGCACAGCACATCCACCACTTACTTTCTCTGGCTTCAGCCTTCCACGAAAGCCCCATGGCGTGTCATCTGTGACGCTGTGCTCCCACTCATATTGGATCTCATCGGTCGACAATCAAGGCTTCCGAGGGCCGCATACTGACCCCCCGGGCATCTCGATACCTGACTGTCCGTTGGTCAGCAAGCACACCACCCAAAGGCGATTGGATGTCTGTGCCCGATATCGACAGCGCCTCATCTCTCTCCCATCTGGCGGCTCTTTGAAGCTTTGGTGCCACAACGTCCAAGTTACGTGATGCGAATCCAACCTAAAGGAACGTCATTAGGCATTTGGCAGTGGCCTTCCGCAACTCGTTTCAATCACAGGAACGTTGTCTGACGTGGAGTGCATGATGCAGAGTAGCATGTCCATGACCGATGACGGGTTTGACAACCGCTTGCCCTGAGTGAAAGCCCAAGTGCAACCCTCGAGACAGGCAACACGGATTCCGGCATGTCCTTCATACACGGAAGGTCTACTACAGCGGGACCGGAGATTTTCGACATGACAGTCTCGGCTTGCCATCCGCTTGTCGGCGAAACTGCCAGGTCCACTTCAAACTATCCGGATGGCAAACCACTGCCAAGGGCTACCGAGCTTAAATCCACATGGCCTCATCGGCTACACTAAAGCCGTTCCTAGGTAGGGACGTCTCGTTTGCGGTCCACCAAATGGCTACCAATGAGCCATGCTGCCGGTGTTGTCTAGCAGCACAAGATTGTTCGCGCGTGATGCCTCGTCACGTTCGTTGCCAGGATTGCTCGTTGCTTTTTCTCGCTGCATGTCGGCTTCCTTATTTGCAGGGCCTAGGTATCATAATGCTGCCGAAATCGCTCTCGATGTTCGTTTTCGTCCGTCTGACGTGTGCTCAAGAATGTCAACGGAGACCTCAATCAGAGTTGCTACGTCGGGACTCGGGATCTTTTCGTGGTCCGACTATTCGACACTTTCTGCGGGCATCTTGACGACCAATGGTTCAAGATAGCCACGGTCTGTTCTGTTTACCATTGGCCCAAGCTTAATCTTTCCCCTGGATGATACTGTTGATCCGAGTCGCCAGGTCCAACACCCTAGATGACTACGTCGTATTCAAACTTTTGACGTGCAGGTATCTGCTTCGACTACCTCGAACGATTCGAGAGTCAGGAACAGACCCCTTTCTTACTTCGTGCTCCCTAGCCATGCGAGGGCGATCACTGACGAGGCCTTGCTTTCATGCGGCCATCCTGGCGGGCGATGGCATGTGTGTAAGAGCAAGGAGACGATTCACGTGGACTCAAATGAGCTCCGATGGAGACGACCGTCTGCCACCAAATAGATGATGTGGCAAACTTGGCCAAGGAATATGTCTTTCTAGACATCGACACGTAGCTCGATCAAGAGGAAGCTTGCGTTTTGCGCAGCAACTTTGCTGTGAAACACTGTGGCATCCTCCTTCCGTAAGTCTCTATTCGAACTTTTGGTGAGACATGGGCGGGAGATGTACATTTGACGCCGGCTGCCTGCATCGAAAACGGTTTAGCTGCCGTTGCTGCGTTGGCGGCGCCTCGCAGGGCGGCGAAGGATGGGGACGCAACCGTATGCTCCCGATAGATTGACTGATGCAGCTAGTTTGGGCCATCGACCGCGTTGCGCCATCTGTGAGTTTTTCGTTTGGCAGTAACATGCCACCAGCCTCGACCTTCGGTTGGTAATCGGGTATCTGGGCTGGGGATGAAGTTGGCAAACAAGTCGGGGAGGCTCGGGTATGCGGACTCCACCGAGACTCGCAGAGCCATCCGTTTTCCGCGTCTCGGTGTCATTGGAAAGACCAGCCCCATGCTATGCGAGTACAGGTCTCCTTGGGTCGCA